CAACTAATCCTGGGAGGAAATACAGTCGACCAATGGAAAAGCATGGTCTTCACAAACATTCGAATGGAAGTTTGTTTACTGTGAACTGAAACTCATGGCACATGGACGGACGGAAGTAAAAGGAACCCTGTATTACAGCGATGATCCAAAATTCAAAGCAGACGAAACGGTCAGGAGTGAAGGAAAGAACAGTATTTCGATCCACGAATTACCGATTCGTCCGGATGCACCGTCCTGACGGAATCAAAACACTGTATAGTGTGTATGCTGAGCATTCACTTGAACTGATCATTACACTCGCAGGAATTGACGTTACCCTTGATCTGTTAGGCTTTTGACATTCGGATGCGTGTACCATCAAAAATCCACCAGCGTTATAGTTTATTTCATCGATCGGTTGTGTCAAACGGTACGGTTTTCGTCGTTTGTTTTATTTGCATTCGAACAGCCTCCTCCATCATGAACTGATGTTGTTTGTGCACACGAGGCGAATAGTGGTCACAAATAAAACTACCTANAGTTTTTCATGAGAATTTGCTACCCGGAATAAAACAGACAAGTTAAAAGATAATAATAAAAATGAATCGAATTGTTCACATCCAAACTTAAGCGACAACTTGGACCTTTGGAGACTACTATAAGCACATTTGCTGCTTAGAGTAAGGCAGCTAAACAATGCCGAATCGTTTTGTTTCCTGAGAAAAAATTTATCACAGGGATTGACGAGCATCGGAGACGACAAGCTGGAATCTGGCTGTATTATTACAGAACTTGACAAAAGATGATTCGAGGATAGTATGATTTATAGGTAGGGGGTGGTTGACTGGTATGGACCATGAGTTAATTTAACACTGGTTTGGTTGTTTTACCCAACATCATGGCCGTCCTGCTTTCTCAGATCTGAACAACGGTTATCTGCTGTTTCGTGGTATCAAGAGTGCAAAGCAACTACATATCATGATTTGTAATACTTAATCCGACGGAAACGCTTGCGGCATTGTAGTTGCTCACAAACCGTGATCTACAACGAAGATGCACTCACTACGATCATTTAAAAAGTTGCTGGTTGAATGTGTACAGACTAGCTGAATTCAGAGTAACCCATGGTGGAAGCATGGTGATTCGATGCTATTTTGTTCTATCCTTTTACTACCTACTTACTGAATGGTAGGGAGCGAAAAGTAACCAATCAAAGTCAGGCGGCAATGGTGGAATTCGAAAACTACCTCCACTGTAACTAAGGGGTTACGATGTTGAGAGTTAGTAAAGATAATTTATGAATGTCATGACTTTTCCTACCATGCAACATGACAGTTAACAGTGCTAGTCACAGAATTTTATGATGTGAGAGGTATGGAGGTTAACTAAGAGAGTGTTAGGTGACCGAAAGAAAAACCCACAAATTCCTGAGTCAAAGGCTCCGGTTAGGGTTCCCAAAGAAAAACACCTTCGTCGGTGTGGGCTACCGAGAAGTATTTCGCGCTCTCAAGTCTTAGGCACCCATTTGGAAAACGATCCTTCCATTCTGACTAGTTCTTCTTCTCAACCTCGATTATTCCCAGATGCCTCCTGTTTACGCCACCCATCGAATATCACTCAGCGTTTTACCATCAAGGCCAGAAAATCAGGAGCTATAGGGTTTTTAAAGCCAAAATCCCCTTTTCACTTAGCCGCGTTCAATGTCCGCACGCTCTATCAGATTGGCTAACAAGCAGNCCTTGCTAGAACCCTCGAAAATTGCAATGTAGATGTATGTTGTGTCTCCGAAACACGCATACAAGACCCCACTTCCATTATCTCTCTACGTTCTACTGATCCAACCTCAACCTCACGCTTCACCCTTCGTGTGTCAGGCGATTCGGTATCCCAAGCTCGCGGTGTTGGGATTGCGCTGAGTGCTAAGGCTGAGCGCTCGCTTCTTGACTGGATTCCAGTCAGTAGCCAACTGTGCACCGTACGTCTCAACGGTTCAGTTCGAGTCAACAGCTACAAAATGAAGCGTCAATGCTTATTCGTCGTATCGGCCTATGCACCGACCGATTGCAGTATACCGGAAATCAAGGATGAATTCTACCAGAATCTCTCTCAGCTACTTTAGTGTGCCCAATCAACGGACGTCGCAATAGTCGCCGGGGACTTCAATGCTCCAGTAGGATCTTTGGACGATTCAGAAAGGCTTCTTGTCGAACCGTATGCAATCCCAGTCAACAGAGACCGCCTACTGCAACTCTGCACGGACCACGGACTGTTCCTGCCAAACACGAACTTCTCGCACAAGAAACGCGATCGACTTACATGGAAACCGCCAACCTCTTCACTGCGCTGGATCCAGATCGCCATCAGTTACCGTCCGAGAGGGTAGATTCAAGACTGCCGCACTTAATGGTACGCAACTGNACATCTTATCTTTCACTCTCCGCCTCGAATGGACAAATACTCCCAGTTGATGCTAGTCCTCCATCTGAAATGGAGGTATCTCGGGAAATAAGGTACCTTATAAGGCATAAGGACTGTGGCCCAGATGGGTTGTCCTCATCCACGTTTAATAATGGAGACTCAGCGTTAGTCTTGGAGTTGACAAAACTCCTGGGTTCAATATGGGAAAGGAAAGAGGTTCCAGCTGAAAGGCGTGAATCGGTGATCATACCGATTTACAAGAAAGGTGACAGATCCTCCTGTGAAAACCTAGGAATTAGTTTCATCAACATTACTTCTAAACTTCTCGCTGGGATTATACTCTGTCGACTGTCTGTTGCAAGTGAAGAGTGCACGGGTGAGAACCGAGCTAGGTTTTAGATCTGGTCGAGGTTGTATCGACCACATCTTCACACTTCGCAAAACTGTGGAGCACCGACATTCTTTTCGTAGACTCACCATCTCTGTCTTTCTAGATTTGAAAGCTGCCTTCGACCCAGTCGACCGCTCCAAAAGCTCTGGCGCTGCCTTTTTCTGAAAGGTTTCAATAGTACGATCCATCCTTACTCATGGCTGAAGTCGAGTCAGGGCTTACGGCACTTTTTCACCCGAGTTCACCACGAAAAGTGGTGTTCGACAGGGTTGCCCTCACTCACCTTTTCTATTCAAATTTGTGATAGAGTTGATTATGGAATCAACCCAATCCTCGTGCGGGGATAGTGGTATCGATTTACTCCCAGGTGGCTGGTTGTCTGATCTGGAGTATGCAGATGACATTGTGCTACTAATTGAAGATCCAGGTGAGTTACAAGCCCTTCTGGATACTTTGAGTGCTTGTGTAACCAGGTTCGGTATGCGTTTGGCACCTTCAAAGTGTAAAATGTTACTACATAACTGGGTTGGTCCTACACCCAACCTCACCGTATCTGGGAAAATGATAGAGCGAGTGGATAAGTTTTGTTATTTGGGCAGCTATATCGCATCCGGTGGACTCATCACGGATGAAGTGTCAGCTCGCATACAGTAGGTTCGGTTAGCATTCGCCAAATTGAGACATCTGTGGCGCCGTCGCGACATCCGGCTGTCTGTGAAGGGTCGAGTGTATGCCGCGACAGTTCGGCCAGTCTTGCTCTACGGTGCAGAAACCTGGCCATTAAGAAAACAAAATAAAGACAGACTGTCGGTGTTCGAACACCGCTGTCTACGCAGCATTGCACGAATCTGGTGGGACAGCCGGATGAGTAATGCTGAAGTGAGGAATAAAGTTTTAGGCAACTGCGGTCGCCCAGTGGAGTAAGTGGCCGACCTTCATACCCTACGTTGGTTGGGGCA